AAACATGTTTACATGATACTATAAACTTGTAAATGATAACATGCTCACACACATGCACACAATTTTTCTCAGGTAATTAGAAAATTGGTATCAATTTCACCATGCTCCATAACATCAGATGAAAATTTTCACAAAGGTGTCCAAAAACAGTTTTATGGAGGGAATGTATATCATTGTTGTGTTAGCACACATTTCTGCAGGGTTATTTAATATGAATTTTTCATCACAGACATCCTTTACTTCCTTCTAAAAGTTATTCATGGCAGCCTTAGTAATAAAAAGAAAAACATACCACCAAGTATATAACAACAGGATTGTAAAGACATGTATATATAATAAACAAACTGAAACACAGCCATACCTAATGTTTCAAGCGTATCAGCACTGCGTTGTGTTGTGTCAGCCAAATGACGACTAATTGATAGTAACTGATCTGTGACATCTGATGACATTTTGACCAGTCCTTCTTTATCCTTACGCTGCCTGAATTTCAGCACATGGATAAAATTATATTTATTAGCAACTGGTAAATTTAATAGCACGAGGCAAAAAAATTATACTTTCACTATATCAATACTTTCTTGCCTGTGGTGTAAAATAGTCTCTTCTGATCCTTCATCTAAAAGCTCCTCCTTGTTGGACTTTTCAATTGTAAACATACACATAATGTTGGCCTTTTGAAATGCTCCGAGGGTACTGAAATATCAGAGAAAAGATGTTTAAAAGTTGCTTCTCTTTGTCTAAACCCCTCACAGCCTAAACACATCCATATGGTAGGATGTTCCTTGCCTTAGCACTTAAACACATGTGTACTGTATTCCTGTCTCCCAGTGACATCATGAACCAGAATAGTTCAGTCAATAAAAAGACTGGCTATGGATTGGATGACAACAGTTGGAATTCTGGCAGGGGAAAGGACTTTTCTTTTCCCACCATGACTACCAGCTCTGAGACCCATCCATCCTCCTATCCAGTAGGCAATGGTGAGATTTCCTTGGGGGTAAAATGACAATAGTATGAAGCTGACCACTCACCCCATCTAGTATTGAGATTATTAGTATGTAGGACTTTACCTTCACTCCCTTATATTTTCATGGCATGTTAAACTCTTACTTACCTACTTACTCCATGCAGATGAGTCCTTCCTGAGAAACTAACAGTCACTCAGCAACTCAAAATTTTCCAACATTTTATGGAACACGAAGATTCATCACCATGTTCATAACAGCCTGCCACTGGTCCCTATCCTGAGCCAGATGAATCCAGTCCATTTCTCTAAGATCCATTTTAATATTATCCCATCACCTAACTTAAGGTCTTCTTAGTGGTATTTTTTCTTCTGGTTTGACAATAAAAACCCTCTTCTCTCCCATGTGGGCTACATGCCCTGCCCATCTCATCCTCCTTCACTTGATCAGTCTAATTTTATTTTGCGAGAAGTAAAACTTATAAAGTTCCTCATTATGTAACTTTCTCCATCCTCCTAGTAATTCATCCCTCTCAGGTCCATATATTCTCCTCAGCACCCTGCTCTCAAACACCCCCAGTCTACGTTCCCCCCCTTAGTGTCGGAGACCAAGCTTCACACCCAAACAAAACTACAGACAAAATTATAGTTCTGTTTATTTTAATCTTTACGTTTTCAGACAGCAGATGAGAAGACAAAAGGTTTTGAATTGAATTGAATTGTGGCAGGCATTACCCAAATTTAATCTGATCTTAATTTCCTCATGAATCAAATTTTGATTTGTTACTGTCACATTTTCAAAGGATCTATTAGCCATCTTTATGTTACATTTCTCCCTGCATTCTACTGATAAGACAGCATCATACACCTAGTTTACTGTGTTTACTTCTAAACCAATCTCCTTTCTAGGAGCAGTTAGAGCTTCTGTTTTTTCTTTATGTTATTCCCCAAAAGATTTACATCATCAGCACAAACCAAAAGCTGATGTGTCCCATTCAGTTTTTCCTACCTGATTTTCTTGGATCTTCCTAATTTCATATTCTAAAGCAAAGTTAAAAAGCAATAGTAATAAAGCATTTCCTTGTTTTAGACCACTTTGAATGGGAAACATGTCAGACAAATGTTTACTTATACAGACCTTACTCTAGGTTTCATTTGAACACATTTTAATAAGCCTAATTAGTTTCATGGGTATACCAAACCCAGTGAGATTACTGTACAATTCTTCTTGTTTAATTGAATCATATTCTTTCTTGAAGTCTATGAATAACTGGTATACTGGCTCATTGTACTCCAATTTTTTCTCTAGTATATGATGAATATAAAAGAATCTGATTAATAGTTGACTTATTACATTGAAACCTACCCACACTGATGATCCTCATTTATGTATGGACTTAACCATGAGAGAATAATGTTGGATAAAATTTTGTATGAAGTTGATAACAGTAATGTGCCTTGATAATTACTACAGTCAGTTTTATTTCCCTTCTTATAAATTAGTATAATAATAAACTCCTTTCACTGCTGAGACAATTAATCCATATTCAAAGTAGAATTAAGGAGTTTATGGATCTCAGAGTGTAATGTTTCACCTCCTGCTTGAATCAGTTTTGCTGGAATTTGATCACTATCTGGTGATTTATACCTTTTCAATTTTGCAATAGAGATTTCAACCTCAAAAAGACTAGGTTCAGGCAGGAGTCTGTAAGCAGATCAAACATTCTCATCCATTACCAAGCTATTTCTAGGTTGGTAACCCTTCTTAAACTCAATTACACCTCTGTATGAGCCTCTAATGTTCTTGTTCTTACTATATGTTGTAAGCTCAATAATTCTGTCTTTCAGATATTCCCTTTTTTTGTTCCAGAAATGTTTACTAGCTTCTCATCATACATCATTCAGATCACTTGCACTTATTTGGCTTGGATCCTGTAAAAATTTCAATTTGGGTTTTTTCCTTTTATTTAGTTTTAAACATCCATGGCTTATGCTGTTTGAATTCTTAATAACCTACGCTCTCCTTGGCTGACATTTTGATATTCTAATGATTTCCCAATCTTTAATGATATCTGCATCATCATCTAAGTTTTCAAAGAGCTGCGAACCTGTTTGAGATTTTAACCTCATACTGTTCTTCACCTTCTGCCTTGTTAGTTTCTTCACATTGACTCACTCCATATCAAACTTTTGCATTGAATGTTTACTTACTACCAGCCTCTCCCTAACTTCTGCAACCACCAGATAGTGATCAGTATCACAGTCTATTCCCCTGAAAGATCAGACATCAAGTACACTTGAATGCTGTCTCCTATCTATCAAAATGTGGTAAATCTGACTGCGTCTTTCCATCAGATGTCCAAGTGAATTTATGAAAGCTACAATATGGGAACATAGTACTCTTGACAATTAGACTTTTGGATGTGGCAAAGTTTACTACTCAAATTCAATTATCATTAATTATTTCATGTAAACTCTTATCCCCAACTGTTGGTTTGAAAATATCTTCCCTACCTACTTTAGCATTGAAATATCCTAACAATATTTTCATGTGGTACTTTGGGATTTGATCAAATACACGCTATAGTACCTCATACTTTGTATGATCTTTATCCTCCACTGTTTAATACACATTCAGAAGAGTAATAATGCACCAATGACCTCTTAGTATTATATAAGACATCCTGTCACTAACAAACTATACCTTCTTAACTGCTGATATGATTCTCTTGTGTACAAACAATCCTGTCCCCCAATTCATGATGCTCATCCCCCTTTCAACAGAAAAATGTGTAATCGCCTGCAGGTACAGTGCCACTCGTCCCATCTGACCTACTGTACTGCCACTAAATCTAATTTATACGAGGTGCGATCGGAAAGTTTCTAGACTGTGTCAATAGCGGGCGAACCGGATGTAGTACGAGCTTCTGCCTTTAGGGGGTGCGGCCTACATTCATAGTGAATCAGTGTGCCAGCCGGCATCATCGAATTAGCATTTGTTTCTTAGTTACGGGCGTTTTGGTAGTGCATTACACCGACCCTCCTGCGATTTCGGAATGGCGTGTGCATCAAATGTTGCCAAAG